TTTGGACTGTGTGTCGAGAGTATTTGGCGGGAAACTGCGCGTTTCCGGATGTTAGCCTGCGAGGTCAGATTGGGTGTGGAAACCGCGAGTGTTCGTGTGTGCGCCTGTGGGCGACGAGTTGGTCAGGAAACTGCGGGTTTCCCGATGTTGGCCTGTGGGCGAAGAGTTGGCAGGAAACTACGGGTTTCCTGACCTTGGCCTGTGGGCGAAGACTTGGTCAGGAAACTGCGGGTTTCCTGACCCTGGCCTGTGGTTGAAGAGTTGGTCAGGAAACTACGGGTTTCCTGACCTTGGCCTGTGGTTGAAGAGCTGGTCGGGAAACTGCGGGTTTCCCTGTGGCCGAAGAGTTGCTCAGGAAACTGCAGGTTTCCTCGCGTGGGCTTGTGGGGGGAGAGTTGGTCCGGAACCCATTATTTAGGGCCCGCACTTGATCAACGGGGGCGAGGAGGGGGGGTTTATTGTTTAGAGGTGGACATTACACCTGATGGCACAGCGTCCAAGGTTTGACAGAAAGGAGGCCAAGCTTCTTTCGAGGCACACAAACAAACACACAAAAGCGCAAAACACATACGATCAGAAAAACAAGCAAGCCAACAAAACACAACAAACATCACCGAGCAAATCAAAAAAGCAAACAACAAACAAGCAAACAAAAGCAACAAAGCAACAAACAAACAAACAAACAAACAAACAAGCCACGCAAAGCAACCAAGAAAACACCCAAACACCACAAACACAACAACTCCCACAACAAAACAACAACCAAAAAGCAACAAACAACTACAACACAAAAACCCAACTGTGCAAACTGCACTCTGAACTGTGCAATTTGCACTGTTCAAGTAAGTTTGAGCTCCAAAAACCAACTGTGCAATTTGCACTCTGGAGAGTGCAAATTGCACAGTTGTAGCCCGGACTAAATGATCATTTACTCTCCGAAAATTTAGTCGGGATCCGGACTAAATGATCATTTACTCTTTAGTCCCCGGACTAAATCCTTAAAAGAGTAAATTTAGACTCAAGTGATCTATCAGGAAATCCAGTATGTGCAGCAGCAATTAAAAGAACATTTGACAACAACTGTGCTGAACTTTTTTAACCGGAATTATGTTCCATGCACTGTTGAGTATCTAAAGGGGATCGTGTCGCGGTATGTCTAAACAGTACACTGTGAAGTCGAGGCTGCAAATCTAAGTCGAACTTAAGCAAAGTAAGTCTTGGACGCATAGGGTGGCACCTCTCACAGGAAAGGTACCGAGGATCTACACTTAGAAAAAAGACCTGCTTTCGTCCATCCCCGTGTGCGTAACGGGGTGACCTTGGACCCCCGGTTCTATAGCTATACAAGTGGGGACGCGGAGTTTCGGTGCTACAACCTGCCAGGACCTGTAAAATTACTTTACTTCGAGTGATCCCCACCATGACATGTCAAAACAGCTTGTTGACTCCACTTTTGTCTGAAGCTCTTGTCACGCGACTTTGGCGTAACTAACTATCCCGAGCATTTGGACCATAGCTGTGATACACAACTGAAACCATATTCATGCATTTTTGAAAGACTCACCATCACGCAGGGGGTCTGACATTCTAGCTGGCATAGCTTTTGACATTCTATCTGGCATGGCTTTTGAGAGGGGCGTCGCGGCGTTGGGGTCTGGCAGAAACACTGGGCATGGATGATCGTGGTGGAGGTCCGGCAGCGAACACTGGGCGTGGATGGTCGTGGTTGACGTCCGGCAGGGAACACTGGGCGTGGATGGTCGTAGTTGAGGTCCGGCAGGGCACACTGGGCGTGGATGGTCGTGATTGCGGTCCGGCAGAGAACACTGGCCGTGGATGGTCGTGGTTGAGGTCTGGCAGGGAACACTGGGCGGGCGTGGTCGTGGTTGAGGTCCACCGGGGAACACTGGCCGTGGATGGTCGTGGTTGAGGGCCGGCGAGGAGGAGAAGAAGGAGGAGGAGGAGGAGGAGAAGGAGAAGTCAGCTAGCATAAAAGCGAACAACCCTCACCTGGGAAAAAACCCAACAATAACAAAATGAAGGTATCTCTAGGGATGACAGCCATGTGGAATCTGTTTCAAGTCAAGCTGAAGGAGAGGGGGCGAGGGGTAGGGAGGGCAGAGGGATGCGGACGGGAGACAGAGGCGGCAGGACGGAGAGGAGAGCGGACGGGGAGGCAGCGACTCACCAAGGTCCCTCTGCCTCCCTCTTCCTCTCTTTCCCCTTTCCTTCCTACCGTTTACTTCCGGTCTCTTTCCTCTCTCTCCCGCTCTCTCCTTCTCGAGAGAGGTGAGAGAGCAAGAGAGAGAGAGAGAGAGAGAGAGAGAGAGAGCGCGAAGGAAAAGAACAGGATAGGAGGGTGCATAGTCCTGGGATAGGCCTATGGGTGGCGCTAGGCATAGGCCTAGGATAGGCCTAGGATAGCCTAGGCATAGGCCTAGGATAAGCCTATGGCTAGCTTAGGCATAGGCCCAGGATAGGCCTATGGCTACCCTAGGCATAGGCCTAGGATAGGCCTATGGATAGCCTAGGCATAGGCCCAGGATAGGCCTATGGCTGCCCTAGGCATAGGCATAGGATAGGCCTATGGATAGCGCTAGGCATAGGCCTAGGATAGGCCTATGGATAGCCTAGGCATAGGCCTATCCTAGACCTATGGCTAGCCTAGGCATAGGCCTATGATAGGCCTATGGGTAGCGCTAGGCTAGCTCCCTGGGCCCCTGGGATAGGGGCTACCCTGGCTCGAGTATAGGGGTAGCTGTGGGAGTTCTGTATGATGTTGGCTCAGATGCATACCTTAAAAATGTAATATTATATACAATTTTCAGGTGCGCCCTCGGCCTACTTTAAAAATGCAATATTACGTTTTTAAGGTCAACACCATAGGAAAATGTAAGTTACACATTAAGAGGTCCCCCCCGGTTTTGAGGGTTGGGGGGGGGTGATAGTTGAAGGGTATGCCATGCAGTGCATGGAGCTTTGACCCATGGGAGGGTGTGAACAAAAGCCGCCCATACACAAAACCAAAGCAACATGTTGATCGGAATCTTAGCAAAATAAATAGAACAACGAGAAACCGGCTTCGGCTAGTAATTAGTCAAAGCTTGGTCAGAAACTCGGGTGATTGACTTCTCCTCTCAATACAGTACCTATACCCGACCCACGAAGTACTGACCCCGAATGTACCCTCTGCCCCATTCCCCTCAACTCGACCATCACTATAGTTTGCTATTTTCTTTGAAAAAGAAAACATGGAAAAAAACACGCACACACACACACACACTTAGTCATAGGGTTTGCAGTTTCCATAATCACCACAAAGGAATGGCACAACGGAAAGGTGGCTGAGTCAGAGGACTTGAAGGTTTTGAACAAAAGTTAACGCGCGACTGCAGAAAACTAGCTACTGAATACTTAGCAGACCAAGGAAAGGAAAGAGTGAACCGAAAGGCGAAAAGTCAGAGTACTTGAAGATGTTTGAACAAAGGTTAACGCGTGACTGCAGAAAACTAGTTACTGATTACTTAGCAGACCAAGGAAAGGCGAAAAGTCAGAGTACTTGAAGATGTTGGAACAAAGGTTAACGACTGCACAAAACTAGTTACTGATTACTTTGCAGCGTGCAAGGAAACCTGTTTTGGGGGATATCATGCGAAGAACCACCACGGAAACAAACCAGGAAAAGTGGAGTCACAGCGTGGACAAAAGTTTCGCAGGTACGTTTGCAGCCCTCCCCAGTGGCCTCTTTGTTGGCCATCTGCCGCTGGGGAGGGGGATGGCCCCCAGCGAGAACTTGGGAAAAATTGGTGGACAGGACAAGCTCCTAGAGACGGAGGGTGACACACACGCGCTGCCGCTTCGCGGCGCTCCCTCGCACAACCTCAATAGTCACCTAAAAAGCATTAGAAACGAAGGAAAGAAAGACAGAAAGAGCAAAAGGAAAAGGGCAAGAAGGAAAGATAGGAGTAGCGAAAATGTTGACTACTTAGCACTTGAATACTTAGCCCTTGACTGAAAAGGCCTCGTTACAAACCTAAAAAGCCTCTAGCGGAAAGGCAGACCTAGAAAGAGAAACGAACAGGCAAAAGAGAAAGAACCTAACAAGCCCGAGGGGCAGGGAAACGAGCCTCAAGAACCACCTAACGAGCCTGAAAGAAAACCTAAAACACGAAGAAAGCGCAAGAGAGAAAGCAGCGGGGGTTGTATGTACATGTGTGTGGGTGCATGTGTGTGTAAGCCGTAAGCCCGGAGGCGTGAAATTCCGTAGCTCGGCAGCTTTGCGATCGGTTGATTCATGGGTGAGACAAAGAATCAAGCCAGAATCCACGATGGCAGCACTTCGAATCAGAAAGGACCACACTGTGTACCCAGTGGGAAGACACAGCGATACACACTTAGTCATAGGGTTTGCAGTTTCCATAATCCCCAGAAAGGAATGGCACAACGGAAAGGTGGCTGAGTCAAAGGACTTGAAGGTGTTTAGTGTTTGAACAAAAGTTAACGCGTGACTGCAGAAAACTAGTTACTGAATACTTAGCAGACCAAGGAAAGGAAAGAGTGAACCGAAAGGCGAAAGTCAGAGTACTTGAAGATGTTGGAACAAAGGTTAACGACTGCACAAAACTAGTTACTGATTACTTTGCAGCGTGCAGGGAAACCTGTTTTGGCGGATATCATGCGAAGAACCACCATGGAAACAAACCAGGAGAAGTGGAGTCACAGCGTGGGCAAAAGTTTCGCAGGTACGTTTGCAGCCCTCCCCAGTGGCCTCTTCGTTGGCCATCTGCCGCTGGGGAGGGGGATGGCCCCCAGCGAGAACTTGGGAAAATTGGTGGACAGGACAAGCTCCTAGAGACGGAGGGTGGCACACACACACACACACATTTCCCCCCACATGGGTAGGGCTTAACGACCCAACTCAAAGTGGTCCCGCGTTTCGCAACGCGCGTAGTTTAGCGGCGCCGCCCCAGTCGCCGACCGGTCGCCGGTCGCCGAGGGTCTGCTCCACCCGCCCCAGAGAAGGGCGCCCGTGGTGGTCTGCGTCAAGGTGGAGCCCCAGCGAGCAGTTGGCCAGGGCTCTTTGGTGTCGATGGAGGTGAAGTGGACCTCACAACGCATCTTTAAAGCGAAATGAGAAAGACTGGATTCAAATCAATGTCATATAGTTTGCGCCATATGCTTAAATTAGCTTGTGGTCACACTTCTGAGTTCTTCCTTCCTTCCCTTCCTTAGAAGTATGTCCAGGGGCACACCCCACTGGCCCACTGGCGGGGTGAAACTAAATATTTTTGTATGGTCTACGTGGCATTTTGTGACTTCGTGATGATTAAAAAAGATGTAAAAAAGAAGGATTCACACAAAAGAACTAACCCCCGTGTCCAAAATCCCATGCAATGAAGCGTACCGCAAATGGAACTGGGACCAAGCTGCCTTGTTCGTCGTTCTCGCCAGGACAAGGCTCCCTTTTCCAAGCATCCAGTCAACAGTAGCATAACTACACTGTCAAAACGTGTCAAAACCATTCCAAATGGGTCGGTCTATATGTATATATTTATATATATATATAATATATGCCAAGGGCCCCTCCAAACACCGCCTAAGGGCCCCACACTACTGCCATGCTCATTCGGCAAGTCCACCAAGCACAACGTTCGTGAGGGCTCCCAGCTGCCCGCCACACGTCGGGACGTGTTGCCTCCAAAGAGGATCACCTTCTCGCTCCTCGCACGTCCGATTCATGCGGAGGTCAAAGGAGAAAGCGGACCAAGCACCCCACGGTCAAGAGCAAGTGGAACAAATGCAAACTCAACCAAACAAGCCGCCCCATATATAATAAGTTTAATTGTATTATAGTTATATTGTGATACTAGTATATTGTGATATGGGAGATTAGTTTCACCACCCATTATGTGGGCAACGATCCCACTGTCAGCACCGATGCTAGTTCACTCTCCCGTTTGCCGCTCGGCTCCGTGCAGTGGCCCCACACAGCGCTAAGGACTGCCGTTGTGAGGGCACTGCGCCGGCGGTCGGCACCTCTGACCACTGGCCGCGGTCTGCAACGGTCATGGCCTTTTTCGGGTCCACGAGGCGCCGCGAGGCCGTCCGGTCGATCTCTACCAGTAGACCCTCCGAAGCCTCGAAGATGGTGAATTTTGACAACAGGTGTATTTTAGTACTTGGAGTGTCCTGGTATCTCTATCTCAGCTATCTATATCGATCTGCAGCGTTGCACATTTAGTGCCAACAATGGAAGTGGAACCGAGTGTAACATAATTGGCCTTTCAATCTTGCTGCTATTGGCCTAGAGTCAGCGTGGCCGAGAAAATCAGGCACTCAACAGCTACAGTCGGATTTGTGAGATCAAGCTGAGGTTCAGAACCAGCATGGAACCAGGGTGTTCAACATCTTGAGAGGACTCTTAAAAGGTTATATTAAGCAATCCAGTTTCATCATCTTTCATTTCTGGGAAAAAAAAACTCCCTCCACCCAAAGAAGGGGCCAATCCCCCATAGCCGCCACGCCTTGGCGATGTCTCTCCAGTCACACTTCGGGCGGCGTGCACGCGCCACACGCCCACAGCGCCCCCACCTCTGTTTGGAAGGACCAGAAGTGTCACGGGTCACAAGGTATACAGGACCCTCTTCTTGCGCTTGGCTGGGCTGGGCTTGGGTATCAAATGGCTTTGCTCTAAACAGTGCCCTACACGGACTTCTTCACTCTGTACGGGCCGAAACGTTTGGGCAATTGGACCTGAGCGGAGCGGACGCTTGTTAGCTCCCAAGTTGCCAAGATTTTTTGTTTCATTGGCAATCCAGAACCACCTTGCGCTTGGGGAAAACTCTTCAATACATTTCAATATACCTTTTCAATAGATACCCTGAAAAGGGATTGCCATGAGCGAGTTGAAGGAAAGAATCATGCACACTGTACACAAAATTGCACTACCTGACAGATCCTACCGGTCCTACCCCAAACACTCCATATATTGCGTATTTGCCTATTTTAGGGTGGTTTGTGGGTCAATGTAGGCATACTATACATGGTTTGCCTGGGTACCGTTTACAAAACGGTGTTTTTTGTGTACGAGTTCTTCCACCACCCCTCACAATGAACGATTTTGCGAGAAACACACGCGGAACAGAACTGCTCGTGGTCGACCCTTTGATGAAAAATAATGGCATCAAACGGGCAAAAGTAGGAAGATGATGCAAACTTGTGATTGCGCATATGGTTGGCTTCATGAACCCGGAAAGACTTCAAGAGACTGCAACCTCTTGAAGTCTTCACCATTTTCAGGGTCAATTGGTGGCTGGTTTCACGGCACGGCTGCACCCTCTTGGACTTCCCTCCGTGCTCAAGCGGCTCAAAGTCACTCCCCACATGTCCCGGGCTTGGCATTGATCTGCACCGCGCCAACGGCTGAAATGCTGCAGCATCGCCTGTCGCCCCCGACACAAAACCAGGGATTCCGCGTCGAGCGGAAAGAAACCACCACCGAGGAGCCACCACTGAGGTAGGGTGGCATATATTGAGTTGTTGAATGGCTGCATGAAAGGAGATCACTAAAAACCAGTGGGAAGAAAAAGAACAAACTGTGCGTTGGTCCGTTGGAGGCCCTCCCATACAAGGACACACACCCACATACCCACATATGCATGATCTGATTAGTCCCGAGTACCTGTCGGAGACCGCTAATACTATATAAATTATAGTGTTATCTTTTAGATTTGTCGTTCAATCGTGTTGAAATTGCTAACAACATTGATCTACTACTAAACTACGTACAACGGTAGGCGCGTTTATCCGCAGTGGACGCCGACTCCGCGGGGGAGCAGAATTGGCGATGGGGGATATAACGTTGGGCTAAGTAAGGCGCCAGCCGCTAACCCCCTAAATCCAGCGACGCCCTATTGACGGCATAGCCAAGCTAGCTTGCTATTTATGGTGTTCAGTGGCAGGCAGCAGGGGCAAAGAGGTGAGACTTGTTGTTGTTGTTGTAGTGGTGGTGGCCGTGGCTGTGGCTGTTGTTGTGGTTGTTGCTGGTTTGGTTGTTGTTGGTGCTGTTGTGGTTGATGTTGTTGTTGTTCTGGTTGTTGCTTTGGCCAGAAACAAAGCCAGAAGCAGAACATGTGAATAATGCAAGGCAACCACCCACACCTTGCGGCCATCTTGAAGGAACGTGGATACCCTCACAAGCATGTAAAAATCGCAATTTTTTGCACAGCATGATTGGCAACAAATTGCAGAAACACCGCGCTTTTCAATTTTTTTGGCTCCTTCGTTTTCGCCCTGGTGCACCTCCAAAGGACCTTCCGACGTGGCGCGTCCTGACCCGATCCCTAGGTGCTGCCGCCGGCCCTTCTGTTTGGGCCTTTGGACCGCGTCTGTCTCTCAAAATTGCTTGCATCATCAAAGGCTCCTAGTGGCGTCCTTGCTCCTAGTAAGGCCAGGAGCCCCTAGTAGCATTGCTTGCATCATCAAAGGCCAATATCAGCATTGGCCTCATAAGCCATGAGGATGTTCGTTTTGGAGCGATTCTAAATCAAAGTTTGCGACGGTAAGAAAACAAGAAAACCTCACAAAGAACACTGAGGCTCAAAACTAAGTAATTATTGATGTCTTTGATCGTTTGTGGTTCCAAGCATCGAAAAACGCATACAAACACCATTGCATTTTGCACCCCGTAAACAATTGCAACTGTTTGCTTGTTGATACCGATGATTAAAAACACATCGACACTTACAGCGGTTTTGGGTCCCCAACACCCCCCACCTCCCCCAAAAAAAGACATGCGTTTGCAAGGAGTTTCATGCAGTTTCATGGCCGGCGCGTGCACGCGGCCAAAAGCATGCTGTAGAAGGGGGGCCTTTTGACCCGCAAGGCAACAAGACCAATGACCAACAACAACAACAACAACGACAACCCTTATGGTTTCGCCGGTTTGCGAAGCTCTGCAATATTGTTTGTTACCTGTTCTCCACGCAGTGTACCTGGACTGCCTGCAGCTCTGCCTCGCTCTGGCTCACGGCTGACTCGGCTTTCTGACTGCTTGAACGAACCTGTCTCACTCTCCTGGGCCTGTCTGGCTGCTCTGCTGACTGCCAAAGCTTCGTGTTTGGCTCTCGATGACTCCCACTGACCGAAACCCTGCTCCCTGAATGGATCGTATTTTTGATGTATGTTGGATACCCCCATCGATCGGAAAAAAAAGAAAGACGCCAGCGTTTTTTGAAGTTTATATAGGTGTTGTTACTTTGATAGGAAGAATGGATTGTATTTGATTGGCTTGATTGACCCAACAAAACAGGAGATGAATCCTGTTGTGGACCGGGGCATGCTTGACTTCCATGTCGCCAAGGATGTCCGATCTCCGAGGGCCGTATCCACGTTCCAACCAAGCTCCAAACGCTGGACCACTTCTCTCCGTCCTCACCTGCCTTGCAAGGCAGCTGAAGCAAGGCTCTGGCAACAAGGCAGCACATGGGCGAGCGACGTACCCAAGGACTCGAGCACGGGTGCCAGGACCTCTTGAGGTATGCTGCCGCTCGCCATTGGAAGAACCGGCCACGGCCCGGCGCGGACGAAAAAAGCATTCCCGAAAGCGGAGCACAACTCTTGGCGGCCACGAAGGTATTCAACTGGCGACTCGGATTTGACAAGTCCCACAGTAACACTCAGAATCTGGGATTCCCGAGCTCTCTAATTTTGGGCCGGCCAGGTGCCATACTCTGTCAGTATTCAGGTGCTTTGGATGCAGCAAGCCTGGACCAAGCCCTATTAGCCACTCGCGGGCAACCAGCTTTGAGCTGCCCGGCTGCGAAGAACGGTCGAACTCAGATGGAATCCGTCGAACCCACGGTCCATGACGCTCTTTGAACCCGGTTTCGGAAGCGGGACGAAAGGCCACATGATGGAAGTCTCATGAAGTCTCAACGGCCTAACCATGAAGAACTATAAATCTAATCCACTGCAAAGTAGATCCTTTCCATTGTCCAACTGGCTCTTAGTGTCTTGCTGAGTTTGGAGGACTTTTGATTGTTGAATCGAAGATTGAAAATAGGGGTTGGGAGTCCGAGCACAAAACCAACAGCCGAATGTGGAGATCTTTTTTCTTCGCGACCCCTCCGCGATGCTTAGTCATCCATCATTTGTAGATGTTTGGATCTAGGCAAGTGATGCCCGTAGCTGAAACCTTAGATCAAGCTCAAACTCTGTTCGAGTTCAGTGTCAAGGTGTCAAGGTTGGGCACAAGTTCAAATTGTTCTCCTTGCATTTTCTTTGCTGCTTTTTGCAAGGTTTATGTTCACGATAAGACACCAAAATATCCCACCAAGTAGCCTGTCACGCGCACGGGATGCTATCTCGCGGCGTTCTTCCTTGCTCTTGCCCTGCGCACGCGCAGCCTTCCAGGCAATCGAATACACCTTGGACAATATTCATGCCAAGTTGTATATAACTAAAGTTCAACAGGCACCGGAGAATGCAAGGATCCTGAGTAATTAAATTACCAAATAAGTCCATGTTTGCTAGCGAGTTGCACTGTGGAGCTTCTTTTCTTCTGCCGACTTGTCTTTCTTCTTTGCTGCAGAAGTTGAACCCTTTGCCTTCGATGCCCTTTTTGGCGAAGCGCGTTTCTTCTTTGCCTGCGCTTTTGCCTTCGCCTTCGCTGTCGCCTTTGCCTTGGCTTTGCCTTTTGGGGCAGCCTTGCCCTTGGGCGCTGCCTTTGGTCGGCTCTTAGGCTTTGGTGTGGCTCCAAGAGTAGGAGAGGCTTGAGGCAGCGGTTCATCCAACTCGCTGGAGCTTGGCAGCGGTGGCTCACCAGAGCTTGGCTCATCACAGTCCTTGGCTCACCAGAGCTTGAGACGCGAGACCGACTACCAAGTTGCCATCTAGCATGTCTAGCATCAGCACCACGACAATACAAATCAATGAACAGGGCAGGAAGCAGGGGGTGGCGTGTCTTGAGCATCTTCCAAAATGCCGTCCTTACACAAGAACAGAAACAGAACTCCGATCTTTGGTTTCAGAAATCTGATATTTGGTTTTAACGATAAACAGTTTGGACTTGCGATGCTTTAATGCTTCAACCACTTGCCTCAAGGTCCGTCGGAGTGTCATCATATGCCCAAGGGGCAGCTGAATCCAGCGTCTCAATAACCTCAAGGGAGAAGCAAAGGTACAATGATAGGACAAGCAAGCAGCAACGCAATAATATATATGTAGTAATATAATAATAATTGAATATAATATAAACATATGCAGTAATATTGTTGTGTCCATATTGCAACTTTTGTATGTTACATCATACACCGATATAGAATCTGTTGATTCTATATCGGGGTATACAACATACATCTATCTTGCAGTGCATCTTTCCCACTTGAACTTGCCCACTTGAGCCGTGCCTCATCTTCCTCAAAGAGGCCAGCCAAGTCGTTGTCGGCGTTCGATCGGCGCAATTCCTTGGTTGGGTATGGGATCAGGCTGAATGATTGAAGAAGTTAACTTTGAACACACAAGTTTGATTTCGATAAAATGTTCTGCAATAACATTCAATTCAAAGTTGCAGGCTTGCTTTCTGCACTGCTTAAGCCAAGCTGGTTGTCAGGGCTGCGCCGAACCGGGGTGTCGATCATGGTTTCTGGGGTGTCTCCCACCAGCATAGGTTCCAAATGGTGAGGAACATCATAAACCTGCGACCTCGGCAAAAGGAGATTATGGTATTATGAAAACATATGTTTGTGTTTTTTTGTTTTCGCTGGTTTCCATTCTCTTTCCTTTTCATACTTTTTTACTTGTTTTGACTCAAACTGATGCCAGCTAGGCTGCATGAAAGGCTCACCCACAGGAGTGAACATCTCAGACATCTCAGGGGTAGGTTTGGTTTCAGGGCTATGGGCACCAAGCCCTGATGGTTCTTCAACAGAATCACCATGCATGGTTGTTGGAGCAGCTGCACCACCAGCAAGTTCATGACCGCAAACACCCTCACGTTCTGCCAGCATTGCGTTTAGGCCATCAATTTCCCTGCCAGGGTTCAAGAAAGCGTTGGCCATTGTGAAAGTGTAAGCCAATAAATAACGGACAGACCCGGGCCAGTGCCTCAAAAGTTCTTTCTCCTCCTCAGACTTGGTCGGGGCATCTTCAATCATGTGGGAAAAGGGCAATGCCTGCAAATCATGGCGGCAAAACCACCAGGAATAAAATGGAACAAAACAAAACTCAAAGCGTTGACAGCACCTCCCTCTTCGTTGATGGCTTCTTCATTCGATTGCCTCCCCTGTCAAGTTCTGTTTTTGTGTGATTGTGCTTCACCGTGGCAATGTTGACCAGTTGAATGATTGTTTAAACAGAGAAGTTGCCTCGTAGCTGGCTTTTTTGTTGCAGCGTCCTTTTTCGCCTTTCCACTGCCAAGAACCTCATCCAACCCTTGAAGTCCAAACGTGCCATCGTCCTCGTCGTTTTCATCATCATCTTCTTCCGAATCCAGAGGGTTGTGATCCGCATCCGGTTCATCGTCATCATCATCTTTTTTGGACTTGCGAGGCTTCTTCCCTTTGGCTTTGCCCTTCTTATTCGTTTCCTTCTGTGCATTTTCACCTTTCTCCCCTGGCCTCTTCTTTGATGAAGGATTCTCTGTAGCGCCCCCAGGTGATGATTCTGAGGAATCCGTAACTCTTGGGGGGAGGACGGCCTTTGCTGATGGTGGTGTCGTGCCTCAGCAAAGGGAGGCTCATAGAAAGCACAATACAACAGACTGACTGAATCCATAGAAGTAAACCAAGCGTTACCAATTAGAAGTATGAGAGTGAAACTCATTAGGAAGTTTGTGGCAAGTAGCTCAATGCCTTCGCTGCAGGCACTTCGGATGGCCGTGAAGCTGAAGCTTTTGGCGCAGATGAAGACGCCAGAGCCTTTGCCTTAGCCTTTGGATTGGCCCGTGAAGCTCGTGAAACATCTTCATTCAGGAGGGCCTGCAGGTTGAAGGCCTCCAGTCATCAAAACGCTTTGTGGGGCGGAAGGTTTTGTTTTTGTAGTGGAGTTTCTTTTAAACACAAGACTGTTGTAGGCAAGAAGCTGGTGGTCTGAAGGCTGCTTTTGGAGTTACCACTTCAACATCGCTAGAATCCTCCATAGTACAGCTCAGCTGTCACAATCGTAATCCCGGGGCAAGCACGCAAGTTTGAGCCTTTGATCTACAAAGAAGTGTGCAAAGAACATATTGGCTGAAAGAACTCTTATTGACATTGACTCTTGCGCTGCACTCCACAAAACACCAATAAGGCTGTTGGCAGTTGTTTGCAAACCATATGTGGATAGGGCGGCTAGCAGATAATCTCCAAGAGCTTTTGCACCCTAAACTCATGCAGAAAACGTGTGGAATGGGTTGAACCATGTTGAACATGAGAAAAAAGGGGAATGTTTTGACCAAGCTCATGGTTGTCGGTGCAGCTTCATGCCTTCAAGGCAAAATCAGAGAGGTGCAAACCTCTGCATGCCCCCACAGCAGGTGACTGGCAGTCGTCCAATGAAGTACAAACTGTGAGATGCATTGATAACACTGTGATATAGTAACAGACCAAACCTCCCTTATGAAGTCCTATTATGGATGGGCTTTGACACAACTTTGACCAGTCACCTGCACCCCAGCACTGTGCCGGCGCATGATCCTTCCGGCTCACATCAGGCGTACATTGGATGTGTCGATCTCCAGGCCACCAGCAAGGCAACAAATCGGTCGGATCGGGGTGATTGTCTTGACCCCATCGGTGGTATCCAACCTGAGTGGAAACAATAACAGAAGAACGTTCACCAAAACGTGGTTCAAAGTACTTGAAGCTGTAGGTATTTGCAGGTGGTGGAGACTTCTAAATAGTTACAGTTCTCCAAGAAAAGGCCCGGCCTGATTCGCCAGCCAATGATAAGCTTTGAGGTCCCCTTCAGCTTGCTCACATTCACGCGGCTGCCAAAGTTCTTGAATGTAGGATTGTTGTCTTTCTTTTTCTTGCCCTTGCGGCCTTTCTTGTTCTCTTCCTGATCCTTGCGCTCGTCGAGCAGGAAGCAAAGTGGCTTGTCACAGGTCCAAGTAGCTTGCTCTCCAGAAGACATGGTGTGTTGAAACACCTTCACATTCACCTGCTAGGGGTTGACACTTGAGAAACGGCAAACTTCTTTGTCAAACAACTGCTAGAGGGGCAGAACAATGCTTATTCAAAGCTGTCACCATGATATATCAGGGCCTCTCCCACGTCCTCTAGCTGCTGCAACATCTTTCGCAGCATCACTGGTCGATCGATCGATGGGCATTGTAATAAATGCTCTGGAAGGTCCTTGCGCTCAAGCACCACAATGGTGTCGAAGGAAGCCACAAACTTGAACCAGCGGCCACCTGCATCTTGCATCACTTCAGTCGCTTCCTTACTTGCCAGGTTGTTTTGGGTAGGGTCAACATCAGAAATCAACAGTACCAATAAAAGCGAATAAAAGCATATCTATTGCTCTCATTCTGCCAATAAGATTCACTTCCGGATCGCCACTCACCACTTCCAAAGGAAAACCTCAGTTGGAACATACCAGAGAACCGTCATAGTAAGTTAGACTTTCAAAGTCTTCCTGCTATCTAGAAGCATCTCCCGATGTGCAATGAAATTGTTTTTGCCCTTTGCCGCCAAATATATGGCCGATCCATCACCGGATGTCAGCAATTCCACTGTGTTGTTGATGTTGAACTTTTGCCTTATGGTCGAGCAATAAAGAGCTAACGAGCCGTAATAGTCATCAACGCGGGCAAAGATTCACTTTGAGCTTCACATGATGTGAAGACGTCAGTCCAAGACTCTGAGCTATTTCTCTGTCCCAGAACTAGAAAGAAAGGGAGAGGCAAGAAACAGCAGATCTTATCAGTCAGGGCACGGGTTCACAAGACTTGAGATTGTTTGCTCAGTGCAATTGTCTGCATCCTCAATTTTGATCTTCTTTGCAGGCAGCTCCTCACCATCATCGGTCCTGAAAGGCAGGGTAGAGGAGTTGGGTATAGTTGGGTTTTTATTCCTGCTTATAGTGACAGCCTTTGTGCGATGACTGTGACAGTCATCGCACAAACGCCGAACGTGGCTTTCAAAATTTGCATGGTGTGCACTTCAGACCCGAGTTGAAAGCTAGAAGTCCTTTGGGTGCCTTCTGGTTGCACAAATTCTCCACTCGGGTTGAACTTCTCGTTATGCTCTGTAATTATTTGGTTTGCCCTCTCAGCGGTCAGATCATCATCGAGCCACTTTTGCGCATACACTTGCAGCACTGCCAAATTTGACCCGATGGGGGCACAGACCTTGTAGCTCTTTTCCACTTGGGTGTCTGCCACAGTTTTGAGTGCTGACAGCACCGGTGCGAAGTCGGGGAAGCCTGTGAGCTTGATTGATCCACTTCTTGCTGCATGGTATATGTCATTTCCAATCCTGTTGGACAAGTCGTCGGCCACAACGTCGAGAACAACTGTTCCGCACAAAACTCGCAGGTTGGCTTCGGAATTCTCCTGGGAAGAGCGAGGGGTAGGGACTAGGTGAAGGTAAAGCGGGTAAAACAAGCCTGGAATCCAATCCAATATGTTTTCTTTTCAATTGGTCCTCAAGGGCTGCAAGACTTGGGAATCCGTCGTACCCCATAACATCGAGCAGAACGGCCGTTGATACGGAGCCGGGTAGCAATGCTTGCAGGGACTTCCTCAGGATGCTAGTCCCCGCTGCAACCTTGCAGGCGGTCTCAAAACGATCATCTGAATCTAAAACAGTTTGATGTTTGTTTTCACGTTTTGTTGCGCTTATAAGACTTGTGGTTTGGGGAACCATTGAGCCTAGCCCAGCTTAGCTCGAAACCAACAAGCATTTTCTGGAACAGCTTTAAGCGGACAAGCCCTCAAATGTTTTTGAACAGTCTGGCTGTTGATGGCCTGCTTCATTTCCTGCACATCTGTCAGTGCACGTCCCAGGTGTGGTAAGCCTTTCTTCGCTGGTGAGCCCTTGGAGGCCAGAAAATCACAGGTTTCAAGAAGCATTGACAACACCAAGTCTAATGGTAGTTCTAATGGTTTTACCAAGAAACTTCGGGCTTCCACATTTCCGCACGTGGGGCCATCCTCACGTCGTGCACCACCCCTGTTTTCCAAGCCTTCGAATTCCGGAACATGTTCACCTTCTCTTTCGAGGCAATCAAAAGCCCATGAAGGGTTCCATCTCTCCGTCCATAAACAGTGGCCTTGGGTGCATCACCAAATCAAATCGCAATGTGAGCGGAGCGGTGGCCCAACTGTCATGTGTTTGGATGTTTAACGTGTTTGAAGTGCCACGTGTTTGAAGGAATAAATGCAATTTAGTGACCCAAAGTTGAAGTCACGAAGTAGGCAATCCAATCACTACATTAATACTACCAAGCCACCTGGTCGAATACAAAGGTCAGTGGCCTGATGGACAGATTCAACTCCTTCATGGAGAGTGACTTCCTGAAAAAGGTAGCAAAGCTATGAAGAACTTTGAAAGAAACAGGGAATTTGACAGTTGAAATCACAAGGCCCAGGATACCATTCACAACCTGCCCGGCAGGAATTCCCAACTGTTTATTGAACCCAGTTTCTCCAACTGATATCGGACATTGCGAACTTCAGCCTCCTCTACCTGGCCCTCGCTGTCGCATGATTTGTCGTCATCATCATCGTTGTCTTCTTCTTTCTTCTCCGTTTTCACTTTCTCATCATCTTCATCTTTTGCAATCTTGTCACCATCCCTCCTGGTCAGGGCTAGCGGCTAGGCATGAATTGCCCCAACATTAGACACAAAGAGTTGTACGGTAGTGGTTGGCAAAGAGTGACAAAGAAGTTAACTTGTTCATCAGAGGTGGCGTGCAGCAATCAAATTAGAATTGCAGTCCTTCAAAACCAACGACAACACGACGATGACATGTTTAACCCCAAGCTGCTCCCAGAAGTTGTTTGCGATGCGCGATTGGAGTGAACCAGCACTGCAACTCCATTCCTCTTGAACTTCTGGAGGACATTGGCCAGGTAGGTCACAACCCATTCACGTTTGTGGACCCCCAAGATCCCTGCAGTGGGCAAGTTCACCCACACCACAACAGCATGGTCGTCGGGTTCCCGAACCTCCGCCATTTCCTGAAGGGAGGTCTCCACCCAATCTGTCAGCATGGGCATGACCTGTGTGACAGCGTCGCTGGCCTTTCCTGCAAAGATCTTCAAAGTCGTCGACATATAGTCTTGAACGGCTTGCCAAGCTTTTGTATGCTGGTCCTACAGGTTGATCGATTTCTGATTTTATATTTTCTCAAGCAGAATGGGGGAGGACGCTCAATCATGACAATATATCACAATGTAAGCATAACAAATCCTCCAATTGCCGAAGAAGCTTTGCTCGTTGCTTGGCTTGTGATTTCTCTTGCCTCAGGCAGTGGCTAGAAGGCTAGAACACCTCGCTTGCTCACATGATGATTCAGGCGCCCGCTTTTCAGAGATTGGCTGGGCAGGGCGTGGCATTTGATTGTTACTTAACTGTTGAAGCGTATCAGTTTGTCGCTTTACATTCTGGATAGCCTGGTAGCTGGTGTGGGGGGGGGCCAAGGGGAAATGGAAGAACCATGAAATGGTTGAAGGGACCAAATCTACTTAGTTGTCAACAGTTCCTGGTTCTATGTGCAAGCAGGTTGCAGAATCTGCACCTGCTCAAACTGAATTTGATCATGCTGTAGTTGTTCATGCCACGCTGCAAAGGCTGCTTGGAGGGACTTGCTCAGTGCGCTCCGCTGGCGATCTTGAGCCTCATTGATGAAGCTCTCCATGGTGGATCCCCGAACCTCAAGAACAATGCAAAACCACATTTTGTGTTCCATGCAACTCCCACACACACACAAGTAAACACAACGAGCTTCGGGGGAGCTTACAGTGTTGATGTGTTTGTCTTCGGAGTCTTGTAGTTTTGTTGACCCAGGCCTCGAGGATGAAATTGATCCTCTTCCAATCAAAATCTTCATCCGCTGCCTTCATCACTGTCTGCAAGTCACCATCCAGCGACCTTGCTGTGGTTTCAAAGTATTCAGAAAAGAACCACATTAGCAGTAACTATGGGTCCCTTTCCAGTAAATCTGTGTTTTTTTATCGGACTCAAAAAATCAACAAAATCAATCAAACTCGGGACATGGTTTCCATGCTTCTCGGAGTGATCGGGTTTCTGGAAAACCAATCACTATTTTATATTAGAACTAGGAACCAATCACAGGACCTATCTTCCAAACAACATTCCAGAGTGATTGAATATTTTTTGGGATATGAAATTGCGATCGGGTTTCTGGAAACCCAATCACATTCAGGTCACAGAAACTGACATCCCAAAGTGATTTGTTTTTTTGGGGTTTGGCGGATGCCAACCCACAAGTCGAGAATGCGATCGGGTTTCTGGAAACTCAATCACATCGCCTCGGCCACAGCCAAACGGCTGTAGCCAAATGTGTTGTGGAAGATGTGACGGGTTGTAACCAATAAGTGTCAATCAAAAAATCCAAGAAACCCCTTCATAAAGAGCTCATGGTGCTGCTCCACCACACTATCAGGGAACTCGGCCTTCATGAGCGGCAGCAGGTGCAGCCACAACGCGCACACATCGAAGAGGAGCTGATGTTGCTGCTCCGTGAGCTGTGCGTTTTTCTGGGCAAAAGGTGCAGGGAACACTGGAACACCTACTGACCCACTGAATATTTAAGGTTTGATCAAAGGTGTCCCCAGCCTTGGCTTTCGTAGTCGCATCACGCCCCACCAGTCTGGAGAAATCCTGCCCAGTTGAAACTGTTTTGGGAGAAGGTCGATTAAACCAAGCACGGTCCTGAATGGTTCTTGTGACCCACAGGATAGTTGTGTCATTGGTCACCTCGAGAATCTTGCGGAAGACAGGTTTGCAGGCGTACTGCGGCGAGTCCATACGCACTGTACTCCCTGGAATCCAAAAATCCAAAGCGAGAACATCGCTTGGCAGTCCTCCCAGGGTTTTTCCAATCCACCACTCAACACATATGCCTGACAAAACCCCAGTCCAGAGCTGGCATGACTATAAGCATCGTAATGCTGGTGGATGAGCTGGTGGACCTTCTCCGGCGCTCTCAGCCTAGGTATGGCAAAGTTAAAGAGGTGTAACAATAATACACATGTATGGACCATTTGTGCTGTTCCTCTTCAATCAAGCAACATGTTGTAGCACAGTGTTTTTTTCATCTGGTCGATGCGATGAGATTTCAGCGTGCAGATCTTGTTGTACTCTGCACAGCACCGATTCAGCAGGTCCTTTAATGCCAGTCGAGTACCACTCTTGGCTTGCCTCCTCTCCAAGTCGATGGCCATGCGCAAATCAGCCATAAATGTAATGGCACTTGGAGTTGTCTTCTCCGCCGTGGTGTGTCCAATTTCTTAGATAACCAACACACTGTCCGTGTACACCACATGTGTAAACTAATTGAAAACTTGATGAACCAACATCTAGCTTAGTTTCTCAGCGATTGGAGACAGAACATTGTTGGGTTCGGGTAGAACGTGAAGGAGCAACGCACCCACCGATAGGATTGCAGCATTGCCAGCACATCTGGGTCTTGCAGCTCCTTATCCTCTGTCCATTCCTTACGCATTGGTCAAACAAACAACTCCGGCCCAAACAAACTCCAAACAAACATACATAAATTATCCATATGTGCACTGTGCACCAAGCTTCCAGTTCGTATATGAAACATATCACTGCCACCATCAACAAGACTTTACACTGTCCATCAATGAATCCGATGGAAGAGGTAGCGATGCTCCGGTCTGATGAAGCATGAGGAAACTTGACCTCAACAACTTCACGGGGCACATATCCAGCCAGGAACTCACGGAAGAACTTCACGAATTGGCTGTTCTGTGGATAGACTCAGGGTTGCAAGCAATGGATGGAAAGAACCGCCTATCAACTCAACGTTGAATTAAACACATCTTAAATTCAATCTTAAAATACAATTTTGAGAACACCGGACAGCCATTCTTGGCATCAGGTCCAATGTCGAAGAGATGGAGCGGTAGCCAAAATTCTGTGAGCGTGTCTTGGGGAATCAAGCTCAAAGTAGGCCGATCTGTGGAAACAAAGCGGTCCGTAATCAAGTTCTTGACCACCTAAGTAGCAACACCGAACCGCATAACCAAGCTGAGTGAGTTGCCAAGTCTCAGACGTGCTCGAACAGTGACCGATCAGCAAAGATCGTGTTGATATGGGCGCCCAAATTTGTTCGGTCAATGACCTGGGCGCAGTGGTGGTTGTCCCGTCATATGTATGACTGTGGTGTGACCTACACTAAGCTTTGGGCAGTCTCAAAGTAGCTGCACAGTTGACCCAAAGGTTTCCCATGGCTGAGGTCCGGCATCGTCATGGCACCCCCCAAAAAAGTAGTCCACTCAGCAACACCTACTTTGTTGTCGTGCAAGATTATCAACGCTCTCCTTATGATCACATTCACACACCTACTCTGGACCTTCATGGCCAAAGAGAACACAACCCGATTTGCTGCACCGAATGCCATGCATTGATCAGCATGTACTGTTCACTAAGGTTCAGGACTTCAGGAGCCTTGTTTTCCAACAAGTGCGAACTCTTCCCCATCAATCCCCTTGTCTGGGAATTACCCCTCGTTCGGGCACCTGCGGAAAGCAACTTTCAGCTTGTGGGGCCTTGGCTTTGGCGGTTCCTCACCAAGCCTTACCTCTCCATATCTGTGATCAGCTGTTGGCCCAGCATCAATAAATTGAAAGCGAGCTGGAGGATCTTTGTCCCACAGCTGGTCCACCAACTTTTGGTAGTAGACTCCTCTGCGAGCAAGATGCGGGTAGTCAGTCACAATCTGCTTCCCCAGGGTGTCAAGCTCTCCACGCCGCCCGTCATCAATGCTAGGTTGGATCGTTGGCAGCACGGAGTCAGGATTGCGGAGCCGTGACCAAAAGTGGGTAGTCGCCCCGTGAAGTCCGTGTGGGAAGACAAGTAGTGGTTCCTGACACAGATAGTCATCCGCCATGCGCTGCTTGCAGAGAGCGAAGATGTCATTGACCTCACCACGATTGCGCAGCCTCACTGGGAGCCTTTCCTCTGTCGGCATGAGATGACCAAGCCCAGGCATATCTGTCAAGGTTGGTTAAAGCTCTCATTGCACAACCTTTGGCTAAAAACAAGCCATTGACTGTTGGCAACTTATCATTGAATTGAATGGTAAGACTTCCAGCCTCTTCTTTTGATGAACGTGAACTGCTGAGGGACCTTTTGCTCTGGTTGTCCTGGCTGTTGCTTTCTGCCTTTATAGGCATTGTAAGTTTGGACACTGGACGGCATGAGCTTGACCCAATCAAATACCTGAGCACGGGTACAAACCGCCCAAATGGAAACCAGCAACAAGTCAGAAACATGTCAACTTTTTGGTGAGGGACCGAGGTGACTGTCTCGCAAACAAACTCCATGCCATGCTTCGCAAACAAGGGCGCAAAGCGGTTTTCCAAGGCCCTGGAGGTGACCGCAAACTATCTCTGAAAACAAGCTGAGGCAAACAAAATGCAAGAAACCATAAAACAGTCCTTTGTATGTCCCGAGGCGTTTGCAAGTCGCTGCAGGCATTCAAAGCTGCGGTGACAACAGACAGGGCAGCATCTGCACGGAACATTTCATAGCATCTTGTTTGCATGTGACTTCAAGGATTCAAGGTTTCAATGCAACATGTCATTGACTGCGAGGTTTCAGGCCTATGTCCTCATGTGTGTGCCCGACTTCCAAATGTGCCCCTGTGCGCTGGTTGAAGTAGCCTTCTTGACATAGAAGGCAAAACAGTTTGTGCATCGGGGCATTGCGGATCTCTTTGCATGCATTGTCACCTTGTTGCCAGTACCTGGTCAAGGAGAAAAAAGGAATCATAGCCACAACAGGTGGGCACTCAACTGCAATGTGAATTTTTGTCTGGGCGCTCTTGGGGAAAGCTTAGCCCTTGCCGTCGTGCAAATTGCCATGCGAGGTCAATGGATCTCATGGCCTCAAGCCATCCCAGCAGTACAAAAAAAACAAGAACAGTATTGTTTGCGCACAACACTGAGACAAGCGGCGACCTGTATGGCCCAATTGGCCCCTCCACAAGCCCCCTCATCTGCCAAGAAAAAGTAAATGCCATAGCCATGACAGATGCTGCATGTTAGCGTGAGCTGAGTGCCTTAGCTGCTCAAATCCAAAGGCAAACTGCCAGATGCTCACTCAAAGCATAGGCGCAACAAAACCAAATGCTTGCAAAACACGCTTCAAAGTGTCGTAGATCGAAGACTTAGGAGACCGTTTTCCGGGAAAGCGCGGCAAGACCAGTTTTGAGTGATCAAAAGTGTCAATGATATGACAGAGTATATCGCGCTCCGTCCGGCTTCTTGTGCGACAGAGCCAGTAAACCTGGCGGTCGCGCCACTGGGCCGCGTAGTGGTGGAGCAGCTGTGCTGATAGCTGCGCTTGTTGACTAAAGTCCTTGAGGTGTTCCACTCACATTTGGATTGAACACTTCTGCATTAAGTAACTGAGCAGTAATTGCTCACCTTCCCAATCAGTTTGACCGCTTTTGCAAAGTACAGATTAGTTCACCTACCAAGCCAAGATACAGTGGCATCCGCCAAGCGGGCCTTGATGGTTGAGCACGTAGTGCAAATCGAATGGACAGAAGGTTTGTGAAACCGTAAGCATACCTTCCACTTTCTTGCTACATCGTAGAACAAGGATCTCCCTGCAGTGCTTTCCAGACCACTGGATGATTCCACATAGGATCTGTACATTAAGTAAAGATTCGCCCAGTTTCCATGGGGTAATCTCTTCATTGGCAGCAGCTGTGGATTGCACTGGAAGGATAATTGTAGTGTAGGTCCTGTCAATTTGGCGTCGATGAGACGCTCCAGGAGATCCTGGCGAAGCTCCTTGTTCGAGGACTCCACCATAGTTTGCGGCGTGCCCCTTGGCGCAGGGACAAAACCCAGGGCGGGCCAGGATGGGCTATGTGTTTCCATTTCTTTTGCACAACTGTCTTGTTGAAGGTGAGGGGCAACTCAGCTACAGTTTCCCCAGCGCTGAAGTATATGTGAACAAAAAAAGCCTCTACAGAAGCTGCCTTCACGGATGGGCGTGACAATGGTCCTGATCAGGGCCCAGGCTCAAGAAATTTATAAACATCGTATTCCCATGTATGTTCAAAACCATTGAGTTTTATGGTCCTCCGGAACCATTGAGGCTACGAAGATCCTTGCCATGAAACTTCCGTTTGCATCGAGTAACACGTTGCTTTCCAATGCCCAGGAAGTACAGCCAGGACTCACGGCAGATGTGGTACCCACCCAATGTCCACTTCTTCCTCAATCCAGGGCCACCCTCCAACTGTATGGACCACAGTAAGGAATCCTGACACAGCTTTGATAGGGCCCAAAAAGCCTGGCAAAGCGCGACCAAGATCCTGAGGGGTAGGGTGCACTTGCACTTGCAAGGTGGATGCTTCAAGGCGTCCTTGCACCTGGACTTTGACATCCCGCTCTTCGCATAAGAGCTTTTAGTGGCAGGCCCATGGTCGTTTGCATGCAAAGATTGAAATCTTTGTAGCGACAATGCAATTTCTTGAACACATTCAGGATCATCGGAGCCATCCGAGTCATCCGAGGAAGAATAATCATCACCGTTGCTGTCATTGTTTTCACTGCTTGAGGATTGATCAGTCCTCAGACCAAAACAAAAGGATTTAGTTATATGTTTTTTGCATTGCACCATGGATGCAGGCCGGGCGCCCTTTGGAAGATTCGGAGCTGTCATCATAGCGCCAGGCGTGCTTCTCCACGGGACCCCGTTCCGACTCACTGCTGTCGCTGTCCCACCGGGCCAGGATTGGCATTTTGACAATAAATGCTACAACTAGACCTTTTTTTATGTTGGCAAGCGAAGCAAGCAATGCCCAAGTGTAAACGTTTCTTAACTGTTTTTCACAGATTTGTTTATTTTGTCATTTCTTGACCTTTTGCATGCTACCATAGCGAGGCAAGTCCTTTGAATTTGATCTATCGATCAAGATGAATTTAGAGATCTCCTGCCAGCATCATTTTGAGCTTCTCTGGAGACGTGCTTGCCAAAGCAGCGCAAAGTGCGGGCATGATGGCCCTCAGAGCCATAGCATTCCCACCGATCATATGTGATTCCTTAGCTGTGATGCAGTCCATGGAATTTCCAACAATCGTCGCGATGCAGTCCATGGACATAACCACTAAAGACAGGCTAAGTGTCACGGTTGGTGAGGAATGATGTATCATACCGATGCAGTGGAATCCCCATGAGCAGTAAGATGTCTTTGCCGACCAAGAACCGCTGTCGGCTTGTTGATAGGAAGGACCCATTGGGACTCAGCAACAACAAATTGTAAAGTAAAGAAGGACTTGGTTCTTTTTCTTTTGTGGATGCATGTCCAAACTAACTGAGATAAGGACGTAAGACACATGATGGGCTTGTTCTCATCGGCGATGGGCATTTGATTCACATTTTGGGATGTGTTTGCAACAAAGTCAGTGTCCCATCCATTTCCAATCTGTAGATCGAGGGCCTCCATCTCGCGGTAGGTGGTGACCAAGCGTGCTGCTTGCGGATACTTCCTTCGAAAGGAGCCCTTTGCAGCTCTCATGTTCACCTCACGGTTTTGTGTACATGCATGGCATTCAACTGATAGTAAGGCACACTCCAAGTGGCCTTGTGTTCTCTGGCCCATAAACGATGGCGTAGATACCATTTGGACTTCACATTGACTTTCCTAGATCCACTGAAATTTGAACGCTTTAAAAGCAGTGTGCAGTGTGCCAGTGCCAAGATTCTTTCGCGCAGCTTTCGCTCGAAGCAGGATCCTTGCCTGCCTGTCCTTCAACACTTCTGAGTGAGAGTCGCTCAGGATCAAGTCTGGCCTTGGGGTTGACCATGAAAACTCAAGGACAACATAGACATAGACTCTAGAACCAAGACAAGTATTGTTGGAAGCGTTTCTTGCAACTGTGAGTCCAAGCGGTTTTCGGCCAGACGTGCATCTTGCGAAGAGTTTTCTTCATGAAATCATCCAAGGAAAGTCCTTTGGCCTCATCGTTCATGATGTCTTCACGGACCATGAAAATATAGATTCGCCTCCTGCTGATCGGAGCCCCATAGCGATACCTTATATAGTGGGCTTGTTTCTTTTCAGCATCGAACGAGCAAAGGGTTGAAATCATGTTGCTAATCTTAAATGCAGCGAGGTGGCGGGTTGATGATCACAAATGCAATGCGGTACCTGGATTAGCTTCGCTCTCAATTAAAGCAGCGAGATTATCTGGAACGATCAGTTGGTGTCCAAGGCGCCCCGGGCAATTGCGTTGAAGGAGACCATGGACAGTTTGATAGCATCGTTGGAATCCCATGACGTTCTCAAACAGACATACCTTGGGAGAGAAACTCTGCAGCAAACGGTGCAACGGTTGATAAAGGTTTCACGGTTGATAAAGGTTTCAACGGTGCAACGGTCGCAATCAAGGCTCCGCTGGTCTTGTTTTCGTCACATTGCTAATGACTTTGAAGAGCTGTTTTGCGTTACCATCTCGTAGAAGATTGGTACCGCAGTGTAGAAAGCTATACGGGGTACAAGGGAACCCTGCTGTGTAGCATAGCACCTGGGCATGCACAAAACAACTCTTAGACAAACGGGTTGGACACAAAACTTCACATGGCACCTGGTTCTTCATCCATCGGACGGGCTTGGAGAAGATGTTCTTCGACAACCTTAAGTTCACACGAGTGACCTAAGTTCCCAAAAAGGTTTTGGAGAAGACCGGTCCTTGAAGAAAGCTCGAATCCGCATCCCTTAGTACATGCTGTTGAGAGGCTGCTGGCAGGAAAAGTTCCGCCGCAAGAACTCATGGGGCGCCTTCTTGATCTCACTGGCCGACCTCAAAAGTATGCAAACGGAACAGTTCCAGGATATGTTTTTTGAAGCTGAAGGCTACAGCGGCCAAGGTACAAATGTCTCAACTGGTCCTTACGGTTGGCAGCTTCAAAAAGCATTTCTAGTGCCATGTATGGAGTGTCCACACCACTGCCTCAGATCCAGGAAAGCATGATGACGGGTTGGATGGCATGGACATGCCATAATAGACTCAATAGACAAGTTGCAATCGGATGCAAAGTTGAAAGCTTCATCAAAGGCGGCAAACCACCACGAAAGGCCACTTCTCTCCAGAAACTGCTTTCCAATCTCCAAGTATTCTAGTTGGTGTGGCGAGAGCGGCTCATGATCGCCAGATTCAGAGGAACTTGTCAACTCTGATGACTCGCTCTCACTCTCAGACCATCGGCGCTTCATGGGTGAGATGCAGGTCTAAATCGTAGAACATGTAGTGACATTTCGTACGAGTCTAAAATTTAGTTTCTTAAATGTTGCATCATCTGAAATGGTCCAACTGAAGGCCTCTTCACTTGAGCCCTTGAGCCCTCCTCCCAAGAGCTGGTTCCATAGTGGACAAGACCTGGTTTGAACTGGATGAGATTTATAGATACTATGGCGGACTGACAGTTAGAATGTGTTTTTTTCTATATGCAGTTAGAATATGGTTTTACATAAAGCCTGGGGTAGGCCGGAGACCACATGCAGTTAGAATATAAAGACACAACGAACCGAATACAATAGTCATTGCTATTACTGTAGATTGGTTGGAGGCCATCGGTCTTAAGCTGGGCATCGGTCTAAAGCTGGAGGCCATCGCTCGCCATCGCTATTAGGGGGTTATCGCTATTAGGTTTGGAGGCCTAGCTTTGTCTCTGCAAGGTATCCTGGTTTTGGACTGGCAGTTGGAATATGTTCCCCTGCTTTCTGAAAGGCCCATATTCTATCTGCGAGGGTCATCCCCAGGGTCATCAATTTTGAAAGGTTTGGGGTATCCATTTAGAACGGAAATATTTGGATTTCGTATTCTAACTGTCTGTCCTATATTGTAGATATATATATAGAGAGAGAGGGAAAAAAAAAACATCAAACATCATGTAACATCATATATAACGAACGTGTCCCGGAACGTGTGCTGTTCAACGTGTGCTGTTCCATACAGTCTCCCCCCTGCAGCCGTTTTCATCTGCATTTCTTGGGCACCCGAGCGCTGCTCCCTTGCTCGGGCATGCTGGTCCCAAAGCCGAGCAACCCTGGAAACCGCCTGGTGACGCAACTGAGGGATCAAAAGAAGCAATGGGCTTCATGGCGAAGACACCAGGAGGGCTGTTGATGGATTTCCCTTTCTTTACACCCCTTTACGGTACCACACGTTTGTTTCGCAACTGCCTCTCCACTGCCCCTCTTCTGATCCTTTTCCCAGGTCTCCCACGTCTGGACCCGCCTTCTCCGGACGAGGCTTGGACCTCGCCGTCCGCTGGGACCCGAGTCGCCCGAAAACGAGTGTGCGGACTCGGGGGGGATCCGATTCTTGGTTCGGACTCCTTCATTTGAGCCATCAGCAGCTCACATTCAAAGGGCCACCGACCCTGCGACTCCGGTGATTGGAGCGGCCATGTATTTGAACGTCTTGAACGTCCTGCATTTTGCCAACCGCCAGTCATGCCCTATGCACTTTACATCAGCGCAATGGCATCCATGCTTCACGAGCTAAAAATGCCACTTGCGGCAGCGAATTCTAGGATTGCAGGCGGGTTCTGGCCGTTCAGGGAATGCAGTGTGTTGCAGGCTTAGTGTTGTACCACCCCCTCCAGGAGTGGACTAGACTGAAACTATCAGAGCAGTCTTTGACACGGCTTCCAAAGTGCTAGGTGCAAGGCTTTGGATGCGCAGGCTCGTGCCAAACTGCCCTCTGAACAAGCCACGGACATCATCTCACTGATGTGTGCATGATCCTGAGGATGTCTTTCAGGCTAGCCAAAGACCTCACACAATTACGCCTCGCATAACAGTTGTGCGGGTGCTAGGCATCTAGCTGGAAGACCTGTACAAACAAAAGCGATGGTGCTGGCTATACGTTGAGCAGCAACAGGCTATAGGTGAAATTTCTCAAAGCAGCGTCGAAACGATCATTGCAAATCAAAGCACCCCTCACCCCGCTGTAGCTCTCACAAACTGGGCATTACGTTTAACCTAATTGCCATCCTACCTTTGTTTCGACATGTTTCAACATTCAGCATGCTGCTGCCCCTGTGCAACACGCCAAGCCTGCACGATCCAGCATGCGCTTAAAACACCGTTTGGAGGAAGATTGAAAATAGTAAGGTTTCATCAGTTCTTTTGAACCACCTTTAGAACAATGAATCGTCATGACCTTGTATGACATGGCAAGGTCATATCCGGCACAACTCTTCAATCTTCAAACGTCTGGTGGCCCCACTGCTCCGGAGCTCACTCCATCATATCAGCACCGCCAGCGCCACCAACCCCACTGCCTGATCCGTTGCTGTCCTCACACGCCCGGGCGCGGCCTCAGCCACTGACTGCTGACGTGCTTTGCGACGCATGGCCTTGGCCAGCTCGCGATTGTGGCGCTTCTGCTTCTGCAGGGTTCCCGCGGGGCAAAGGTGGCAATGCTGGCACTCACGTCCCCGGGTACCTGAGGATGAACTGGACAGTGATGGAAAAACTCTGGATCGATTTAGCAGGTTGTGGACAGCTGAGCCGAGCCACAACAAAAATCAAATGATCTCATCTCAACATAATATCTCAAACAATCTCAAACATATGTTCTGTCAAAATGCAGCTCCCAGGTCGCCAAAACCAAGCACAAGGTTTGCAAAGGCCTTCTGCGTGACGTTGGGATCCAATCGACCACTTGGGAGTCTCATCCGCTCCGTCAGATCCACTGAACTCGATCATTGAGTCTCCCATGCTGCTGCAGGTGCTCAACCAGTCGAGGCTGCGGCCACCATCGCTCCAGTCGTTTTCTGTACAGGAAGCGCCGCAGGAAGCGCTAGGCACCACACTTGGTGGGACTTTCTCCAAGTCATCCTCAAATGTGGGACATCCACCAACGGCGTCTTTCAGCTCGGGGGCACTTGTACACCTTGAGATGCCCTTGACTGGGACGTATTCAAGGAAAGTGCACCTCTCAGCCAAGCGAAACTCCATGATTTCCTCATCAATGGCAGCCATTCCTTTCGGGCACATGGGGTCAGAAAGGAGGAGGTTCGCAAGAACAAACGGCCACTTTTGTGTGGTGCGGCTGCCGAATTGAGCCCGCAGCAGGAAGCCACCTGCTAAAGTTCAATTGAAAACACTATATGATTCATATATGTGATTCATGATGATTCATGACCCTAACACCAACTTCCAAGAAATACGAGTGATATCGATTGATACTGACTGCGGATGCTTGAGATTGCTTGAGGATATGGTCCCACACTTCAACGTGCAATCATGTCGCTTCGCATTCGGGTCGTTCAGTCCCTGACTTCTCCAATTTCGCGTGGTCACTCTGCTTCTCCTCGGTGGGCTGATGTGATGTGCTGCAAGGAAGCGTTCGGAGGGCCGTGTGGCTACAAATCGGTTGAGTTTGAGCCATTTTGGACTTGGTCCGAACATAGTTATCTAATCTAACCAACCCCATCCACCCCACATCCGGGCTTGCAGCTCACATGCATTTGATGACTCGGCTGGTCCGCTCTGATCAACAATCTCTGTACCAAGCTCGGATCCAGTTCACCCGGATTTCTCTCTCAGCATGCCGCAAGATCACCCTCAAGGTTCTCAGCATTGCCCTCCTGACAGCTGGGTCGCGTGCGAATCAATCCTGGAAGTCCTTCCAGCTTTTTCAGCTTCTTCCAGCAAACGCTGTCCAAGACATTTCTATCTACATGTATCACAAAGGGATAGGATTCACATTCTATCCATTTTGAATCATTTTGAGGTCTAGGTGCCCGGTGCCCCCTCCCTGCAAAATGTCACCAACATCGTCAAAGGAGTCCCGAAAAATCACGAAAATACGAACCCCTCGCGTCACCGCTGCCACGAAACGCTCGATCACCAGAAACGCACTGTGTCGGGGCACGCTGATGCCCCGAGTGATGAAGAACTTCAATGAGTCCGGACAACGCTGATGCCGCTTGTTACAGAAAAGCGAGTCATTCCCAAAGCCGGTCCTCCTCATAAACCTTTAAATTCGGGTTCATGCACCCTTGTGGGTCTGAATCTGCGTGAAACACCGGTAGATCAGGTAGGCAACCACCCAAACCAGGAGGGCCAAGTATCTTCAAATGGACCCCTGCAAGTTCCAGGCGCACCTGAAATTCAGTCATCGCTACGTGGATTGCATGGTCATGCATGGCTCCTGGGAAGACCATGAAATCCGAAGATTGGTATGAAGGCCATCGAACACTTCCCCGGTCAGCTCCTCCGGCTGATTCTGGGCTTCAGGCTCCTCGCACGGCTGAAGCCGTGGGGAGAGTAAAAGGGCACATAATCCATCATAATCTAAATGCAACAGATCGCCCTTCAACACCAACGACCTGCTGCGAAGCTTTTCTATACCCAACACTCCGTGTGTGGATGATTATAGACCCCTTGCAATGTATGTAAATAATTGTAAATAAATATTCCCATGGAGCGTCCAGGGCACATAAAACCGCAAGAGGCTTGTGGCCCGAACAGCCAAAAAGCCTTCGGCAGGTTTCTTCGATCGTTTTGGAAGCAAGGCGTTCAATACCTTTCAATATCTTTGAGGAGACCTGTCAACATCGAATTCAATGGCCTGCGGTCTAACTAAGTCCTGCTGAAATAGGACCGCACATACAGTAACAGGGTGGCTTTGCCAATATCTGCGCAGTGCGATGCCCTCGTCAGCACCGAACTCCGGCGAGGCACAAAAACTGGGGTGACGCACGTCACAGAAGAGCTTTCATCGGCCAGAGTTTCAGACGTATAATCCCGAGCCCCCCCCAAGTCCCAAGCCCACAAAAAGAGGCATGTCGGTCACTCTTAAGTACGGGTTCCCTTTAGTTTGTTTTCTTCACTTGCCCCCATTATTCTAAGTGCACCCTGCCGGTCATTTGGCGGCACGTCCAGTCATTCATCCACCCAACGTCACGTCCCGTCCGGTTTCCAGGTCGCTCCTCCTGGACGGGGGCATAGGGCGCTGGGGTAATATCCTCGGAGTCCTCCTCGTCGGAGCTGAACCCGAGGTCCTTCCGGAGAGCGCGGGAAGGACTCGGTGGACATGGCGTGGCATCGATGCGTCTTCGATGTTCGCCCAATTGAGGGCCTCGACTTCAACCAGAGAACTCCGCCCTTCCCCATGACCTTTACAGGGACTTCCCTATCCAAACCGAGAGCTGCTCACCACGACCGAGACGCCCGGGCGCACCATATGAAGGTGCTCGCGGAACTCTGGTACGGCGTGCCGTGCTACGGAGCGAGGCGGGAACAAGTCGGCGCAGCGGTCGGTGATTCTTCGGCTGGAAGGAGTGGAGAGTGAGCTAGGCTATTGGCGTTTCGTATTTCTCGTTGAGCGAAGATGCAAGATCTATGTGCTATGCCATGGTGTGCAAATGGTAGGCCGTGCAGACATGTCGGAGAAACTCTAACACTTCTGTTAGGGCGGACGTGTCGGACATGGATCTTGAACTCTGAGCAGCGAACTTTGAGCCAAGCAGGAGGAGTCTCAGGGCCAATCACCGGGCTCGCAGTCTCACAGGCCAGGTTGGCGGGCCGAGGGGTACGGTGCTTTACAGGGGATGGCGCCTCATTTGCGCACACATAATTCCCCTCAAATCCGCACACAGACTTTTTTATATTATATTTAACTCAAGTGCGCACACATGATTCGCCTCATCTGCGCACACATCGATTACATTCCTCTTTAAACAGCCCATGTTACCCCAAACTCAAATGCGCACACATGATTCGCCTCATTTGCGCACACACAAATTGAGTCATGATGATCTCTTTTTGCTCATTGCTTCGTTTGATTGATGATGTGTTAATAACGTCCCTCTGGACATTCATCTAATTCATTCATTCATTCATTCATTCATTCATTTTTTCAGCCGTGTAAGCCGCGTGTACAGCCGAGGAAGCCGCGTGTACATCCGAGTTTCGCGTGCACAAACGAGATCAATTCTCCGCGTGTACATTCGAGGGAAATTCCGCGTGTACAGACGAGGCTCCGCCCCTTTACAGGTGCCCACTTGGTCGTTTCATTGACGCGTCAAATCTGTAGAATACGTTATGATACCTCAACTCTGAACAATCACAAGGACATATGGACAGTGGTTGGAGGGGCTCGGGGCTCACTTCTGGTTCTCTCTTGAACCTTTTTCACAGCTGGTCTTTCAGTCTGAGCGCATCCGCTCGACCTGAAGATGCGATCAAAACGGATCCGAAAGGCGTCCCTGCTCATAGCTCGTCCTGCAGTTTCCAAGATCATTGGCGTTCCTACCGGGTCCTACCGTCCTATCATGTCCTATCCCTTATAAATGACACTTGATTCCTCGCCACACAAAATAGCGCCAGCAGCCACTCATTTGTCATCTGAACACCTGCAGGCTGTACAGTGTGGTGCAAGGGCAACATCGCTCCATACAGCAAGTTAGTTGCCAGCTGCACCGTTGAAAGTATCAAGGCCCTGTGAAAGCAGGACCTTGCTGTACTTAGTACTTGGGGGTTGCTTGAGAACAAGGTCAAGAACCAACGAAAACACCAAGGACCTTGAGGTCCCCAACGTTCACAGCAATTAAACATAGTGTAGAACGATGGGGGCAAATGTCTTTCAAACCAGCATGCGATCCGCACAAGAACAGGTCTGAAGACCTGCACAAGCAAACTAATTAGTGAGTTTGGAGCCGAGCAGCAAGCGCGCTAGACACATGCACAAGCAGCGCATCCCAAGCAAGGAAGTTTTTGGCGGTAGATGCTCTACTGCATCTTCCTGCCACATTTTTTGTGGTGCTCTGCCGATTCTCGAACTTCCTCTTCTGCAAGGCACCTTTGGGACAAAGATGGCAATGCTGGCACTCAGCTCCCCTGGTACAGCTGCCGGGGCGCCAAAACCAGGCGCAAGGTTTGCACAGGCCATGCTCATGTAGAGCCGATCCAATTGACCAGCTCCGCATATCGGCCCTTTTCATCTTGCTGGGCCAAATAGACCTGCCTCCTTCCAAGCCATCATCATCAGCGGAAACGCCGATGCTGCTGCAAGTGCTCAACCGGTCTTCGCTCCTGCCACTCGTGCTCGGGGTGTCATCTCTACAGGAAGCATGCATAAGACCTGGTGGGACTCTTTTAGGGACATCTCCACCAAATGTTTGCTGGCCGGAGCCAGCAGCTTCGACTTTTGCAAGTAGGTCAGGGGCACTTGCACTTTTCGGGACCCCCTTGACTGGGACGTATTCAAGGAAAGTGAATCGCTCAGCCAAGCGAAACTCCATGATTTCTTCAGAGTCAATGCCATCCTTCCGACACATGGCGTCAGACAGGATCTGTTCTCTACCCTCAAAGCCGTATCACTTGCGGTTTGATCTGGCAAATGCCTGCCTTCCTCACACAAAGCATCAGCATGCCCAGGATTGGCCATGCATTCATTAGCACCTGATGAATTTATTGTTGAAATTGGCTTGCAAGATTCTGCTTGAGACACCTTGCTCTCGTTAGAAGATTAAGCCCTCCGCCAATGTCGGTGGCCGGGCAGCCGTGACCTCACAAGCACTTCGATGGAGCTTCAGAAATGAGACGTGCACTGTGCACATCACAACGGCTCATCCGGTGGTTTCAACTCACTTGAAACAATGAGGCAAAGGTTCCAAAACACTCACCGTCAAGAACCGGTTGGGAAACCTGGCTGTTCAGGAAGAGATGTCTAAACAAAACCGTGATTTAGACGTGTTTTCTCCGTCAGCGCAATCTCAGCAAGGCTGAGGGATGAGTCAATAAGGGCCACACACACGGCTCGAAAAGCAGTGATCCCTTACAACTAAAACCTCTACAGTATCAGCAAGCATTCGATCCCCTCTCTCGGCCTCTCACTCTTTTGGATTGTCCAAGCTCTGTGTTGCTGTTCTGTTGCCTTTTCTTGCGTGGTGCTTCCGTCAAGTTAGATCCAGCTTCAAAAGGACACAAAGGGGTTGGCATTAATGGTCTGAAAACAAAAAATACACATTGAACCAAAAAAAAATCCCGGCATATTTCTGGGGTGAGGTCAGGCCCTACAAAATGACTGGCTGGCAGCAAATATATACTACAGTGAGCACTACAGAAGACTTATGCAAAATGCTTGTCGCAACGTCGCAACCTGGTCCTGTCAGGTGGAATGCTTTGCACCAGCGGAATTTCTTGACTTTAAGCCCGATGCAATGCATTTCTGCAAAATTTTGTTGTAAGAACCCTCGCCCCCCGAAAGCCAATCGGAGTCTCAACGGACAACTCCGATCAAAGGCATCCTCGTTTGCCAACATTGCGACATGGGATGTCATCACTTGCGACATGATGAAACCGTTTCATGCTTGTGTTTTTTGGTCTTGCATTGCAATGCAATCACTTCACTTACATCATATACCGAAAACACGAGGTCATCTTGTTTGAGTCTTGACTAGTTATGCCTTTAATATTTCCTAGATGTTCTGGAATGTCATGACTTACAAAATTTTGAACAAGGTCATGTTGTATGATTCTTTTCAATGGCGTTTCTTGAGCATTTGAGGTGGTTCTATTATATAACTCTTTGGAATGTTTTTTCTTAAACGTTTTTTTGAATGATTGTTTTAACAAAATGTGGACAATAGTGGGCATAAGGCATGAGCAGTGTTGTTGGCTCTTCACGTGCTTACTCTGTAAGAATCTTCTTTGCGCTTGCGGGCAAGGCTCCCGTTTAGGGCCTCAATACCATGTGTTATTACAATGACAGAACAACAAGGTCACGCCCGCTGCAACGGCCCTGCGCGAGTTGCGCGTTCTCCCATGCATCTTCGAGTCGTTTTTCACAACCTCTCTGGCACTTTATGGCGGTGCCTTTTTTGCTCAATGTCAGTTTATCTGTGTTTTTACACCGTAAAACGCCTCTCCAATCGTAACTCCATTGTGAAATGACAGTTCGTTCGGGGACCCGGAAGTAGAAAAACATATATTTATATAATCGTTTCTCTTTTAAATTCATGAAACATTAACACACTTCCACTCCTTCAGGCGTGTCACTCCTTTTCAGGCGTTCCACTCCTTCTGTGCCATCTGACCCAACTTCTGCAGTTGGTGCTTCGACGGTGTATTGCAGTGCCACACAAAGCTATACATCTATTCTTGGATCTGTGCATTCAACCCGCCATTGGATGGTTTGGATGCCAACTCTTTCGGGATAAACTTCTTCAGGGATGACCATTTGCGGTCAATACATTGGGCGCCATGCGTTTTGGGACCACGCGCTTTGCGCGTAAACTCCATCTTCACATGCTTCACTTGGAAGCATTTGCGCTTCAAAACTTTGGCTGGCTGGCCCAAGACTTGTTTCCGTCCCCAACGTAGCATCAACTTGGTTCGCAAGTGCAAGCGAACGTTAACAGACCCCACCCCATCCCCACCCCACCCCATCCCCAACGTGGCATCAACTTGGTTTGCAAGTGCAAGCGAACGTTAACAGACCCCACCCCATCCCCACCCCACCCCATCCCCAACGTAGTATCAACTTGGTTAATGGTGAAAACGTTGAAATTCTCCGGGGTCGTTAGGGGGGGCGTGAGCAACAACAAACCAACACAAAACCCTGAAATGGAACCTATGGAAGGTAATTCAGCGGCCACGACTTACTAGGGCGAGTTAGAACATTCCTGGAACACACTGACGATCAACATCCTGCACTGCTTTTGGTGGAAACATGTCCCGGCTGGTGCAGCATGCATCTTTCTGATCCAACTTTCACAAGCAACTCCAGACTCCAGACTCCTTGTGACTCACCACCTCAGGGATTTCGACTGGAAATCCAAGTGGACGAAACGTCATAGAGGAATCTGGACACCCCCCATTCAATTCCAGCCAACCATGAGAGTTACAGTGACAGTTGTGGACTTCATCCTGCTCTACGCCGTTTGTGAAGACCAAAACGTTGATCCAAAGCGAAGGACGGGACGGACCTGCAATGCCCCACCCCAGTTTTCCATCCTAACAGGCTGTGGTCAGTGAACGCACTGCCTATATATAATGTCTTTATAGTTTATAGGCAGGCCATTGCAGTGTTCATCTCTTAGGTGTTGTCGTCCTTCCTCACCGTTTCCCTTCCTTCTCAGCTTCCGGGCATTGCTCTCGTCCAGTCGAGTCGACGTCGTGTTGCATGGGGCGCGACATGGCGCAACATCTCGAGACTCACCTGACCACGCCCACACGAGATGTCACAATCATCTTCTATCATCTTCGATGTTTCTTTCCACCAGAATGGGCCGAGAGCTCAACTCCGCTCATTTGTCAACATCTGCCGACTGTACAGTGTGGTGCAAGGGCAACATCGCTCCATACAGCAAGTTAGTTGCCAGCTGCACGTCGAATGGATCAAGGCCCTGTGAAAGCAGGACCTTGCTGTACTTAGTACTTGGGGGTTGCTTGAGAACAAGGTCAAGAACCAACGAATACACCAAGCACCTTGAGGTTCCCAACGTTAACAGCAATCAAACATTGCGTAGAACGATGGGGGCAAATGTCTTTCAAACCAGCATGCGATCCGCATCGGACAAAAGCTTCGCACAACAAAAGGTTTGACGACCTATACAGGCGAATTACAGAGCCCACTTGAAGCTGAGCAGCAAGTGCGGTAGACACATGCACAAGCGTGTTGTTCTTCTTCTCCAGTGGTTCAAGATGTCGCACAGCTGCTTCCAGAATCGGCAGCTTTGGCATCATGATGAACAATTGGACGTCGCGAAGGTCATCGATTCAAGTGAGGGCCAAGCAACTGGATAGAAGCGAAAACAAGCGACACGGGCCTCATGGGGCGTGTCATGTTGGTGGCTGGGGGTGGGGCAGCCAGTTGCTCATTTGCCATCGAAGGGTTGCTGCCACGGCGATAGGCTTTGGCCAATTGCCGATTCTCGAACTTCCTCTTCTGCAAAGCACCTTTGGGGCAAAGATGGCAATGCTGGCACTCAGCTCCGTTCGTACAGCTGCCGGGACGCCAAAACCAGGCGCAAGGTTTGCACAGGCCATGCTCATGCAGAGCCGATCCAATTGACCAGCTCGGCGTATCAGCCCTTTTCATCTTCTTGGGCCGACTGGACCTGCCCTCTGTTCCCAGGACTGCTTCCAAACCACCATCAGTCTGGTAAATGCCTGTGCTGCTGCAAGTGCTCAACTGGTCTGCGCACCTGCTGCTCGTGTTTGGGGTGCCATCTATACAGGATGCATGCACAAGACCTGGTGGGACTCTTTTAGGGACATCTCCACCAGATGTTTGCTGGCCGGAGCCAGCAACTTCGATTTTCGCAAGTAGGTCAGGTGCACTTGCATTTTTCGGGACCCCCTTGACTGGGACGTATTCAAGGAAAGTGAATCGCTCAGCCAAGCGAAACTCCATGATTTCTTCAGAGTCAATGCCATCCTTCCGACACATGGCGTCAGAAAGGATCTGTTCTCTACCCTCAAAACCTTATCACTTGCGGCTTGATCTGGCAAATGCCTTGTTGGTAGAAAGCATCAGCAAATTAAGAATCAAAGCAGACTTGCTTCAGGCGTTCATTGGACAATGCTGAATTTCAGTGCAGAAATTCTGGCACCATTCGACCTGACGACCTCGTTTTCACACCAATCAGCCACCAATCAGAACACCACTAATTGCGCCACCACGGCCGCCACCTCGTCAAGGCCATGACCTCAGGCCGGGCGATGTGGGGCCCGAACCAAATTGAAAAGCCCGACCTAACAAGGAGAGACCAGGGCCCCAGGGGAGACCAAAGGAAGTTCCAACAAAGGTGAAGTGATCTTATAGGACCCTACTGGGGTTCTTCAACCTCTGCTGGTTGTCGGTGGTATTGAATACGTGTTGATACGTGTTGACACATGAGGCCCACAAACGCAAACAGTGCGGCATCAAGCGTTACCCACTCAAGTCCCCGGGAGCAGGAAACAAGGGGAGGTTCACACCATTGACTGAAGACATGAACAATGCGAGGAGAGATGGTAGAGCAGCCATTTGCTGTAAACGTGTTGTTTCCTCGCGGACAATGCATGAGGTGCAGGCCAAATACAATTGAACAAGGCAGCGGCGACATACAGGACATATCGGGAAATATGAGGAAATGCCGAAGCTGCAGCAACCGGGGGCGAGTCACAAAGACTGATGAAACTCGGAGCAGCCGCAAGACTGCTAACGTCTGGCAACAGTTCAGTTGGGGCCGATGCAGCGAGAGCGGTCCGTGGGCGATGATGGCTTCGGTGAGGAAAGGAGATGCAGGACAATGAGGCAATGTGGAGTTGAGGATGCCAAAGAAGTGAAGGAGTTGAGGCAAGCTATACCGAAGAAAACAATAAGGAAGAACGAGTTGGAGGAGAATGAGAAAGTGAGGACAAAGGACTATGAAAGAGGAGTAGGGAACAATGCAGGACAAGAAGGGCAAAGTTGAGTCTTCTCAAAATGCAGGAGCCCTTCCAGGGCTGCGGGAACACTTGGAAACATGTGGCGAGAGAGGCAGAGGGGCTGCCCCGAACACTTCAAAACATTTAGGTCAAAGATACTGATACTCATACATTACCATCCTTTGAATCGGACAAATGAACGTTAATCATGTGTATTAATCAATTTGTGCGCGGCCGAGTGCTGCTACATGAAACAAATTAGTGTCAACATGGGTGGTCCTCTGAATCCACCTTGACTCCCCAAGGTCAGATTAGGTCGACCCGTTGACTCCATCCCTCTCAGGGACCAGTGAAGCAAACATGCCGAAGCTAACCCGAAACCCTATATACAGGTGTGCTGTTTGTGAGTGCGTGGGGAAATCACATAGTAGATGGTGCCCCCGCCTAGCCCTGGCCCAGCGCTCTTTGGACTTCGGCTTTCAGGGAAGGACCCCCGGAGAGCTTCTCTCCTCGCTGACGGTGAGAACACGATCTCTGATCGGTGTTCTTCCCAAACTTAAATGCTCTATTATCTTCTCAACCATGCACTTTACAGAATGGCAATTTGGGCACTGTCCTATTACTCAATGGCAGGCCCAAAGTACGGAAAAGAATGATCAAGAATTGCTGCTCTCACACGTAAGCGACAAGCAAGGCGACGTTCGTGGCCCGAGCATCATGTACCAGCCCAAAGCGTCCAAATGGACCTAATTAATTACTATACAGTCAGCGCTGCATGCAAGATTTGAGCTTCAGCGC